AATGCTGCGCGTTCCTTCCCCGGCGCGCGCGCTGGGCCGTTCCTCCTAGCGGGGCACCTACGGGCACTAGCAGGGCCGAGCCGTTTGCCGCAGTCGCGCGGTTTTGAGGGGGAGAAAACTTTATTTAAAAAAAAAAAAACAACAAAAAAAACCACCCTTAAAAAAAACAACAAAATAAGGGACTCTACCGTTTCAAAGCCAGCTGGGGGAGTAAGAGCGGAGGGAACGTTTTACAAGGACTGGTTTACCGGGCGCATACAATCGTAACGGCAGAGTAAACTTAAAAAAGAACAATTAAAGGCGCTTTTTTTAAAATCTAGGCGTGCATGCCTAAACGCTATCCATGCAGGCAATTTTCTGCATCTGCTCTCTGTAGTAAATATGGGAGAGAAAAAGGATAGAGCTATACACCAAGTTTTGCGATATTTATATGTCATGCTCCCAGACGAATGAATTGAGCTGCTGTCTGCTGGATAACTTACCCTGTATAAAAACACATTTAAATCGAGTTATACGCCGAGTAAATGAAGGAGACCGATTAAAACTGGATTTGTTTTAGCTAGGGAGGCTCACTGGTAAAAGAAACGCTCTAATATGAAGTCTTTCAACAGTTTCTTTCCACATACAAGTACATCTATAACTTTAATGGTAAGAAAGCAAAAGAGCAGTGCACTTCCATGCTTTGACAAGCTTGAAACGTCATCTGCCAGAGGCAAACCTCTCCAGACGCCCCATGATGCTGGCTAGTACTTTTACACGTCTGACAAAAGAGCATCCCTCTGCTGTCAGACTAACAGCACATATAATACCCGTATTTATTTAGACTCACACGTACAAATGTATTTTAGGCAAACTGCCCCAAAAGTGGGGAGCTTTCCCTTGAAATCTTATTTTACCCCAGAAAGCCTTATAAATGAAAAAAATACAACGCAAAATTCATGTAATTAGAAGCTTATTCTTTCTCAGCTGTATCCACGCAGGTAAAAACAAATTTATATTCATCTCGCACGTCAGTGAACGCCGAGTTTTCTGGTCCTACTGAGGGCCGCCTTGACTTTCACCTCCTGGCCCTCCCTACGTTTCAGCTCCTCTCCTTTTGCACCGCGTGCAAACCAGCCGGCTAGGGAGGACTGCAACAGGACCAGGGAAGGAAGAGCAACCGCTAGGACGGCGAGTGACCGTTTTCTTGCCCGTTCAGTGACAGAACAAGTCCCACACGCCACCCGATAATAAATATAAAGGTTCTAGACCATCCTGGAGGCAAGGAAAAAGCAGAATGAGGTGGCTGGGTCGAGGGAGGCACAGTTCCTGGGTCCCACAAGAAAAACGAACAGAGAAGCCCCTATAAACTGCTAAATTTCATTTGGGCTTCCACCTCTGATCCCCAACTAGACAATGACGATGTTGGTCAGGGTATCCCCTTGCGTAAGATCCAAGGGGAACCATTTGATGAGACGAGGCTTTAAACCGGGTCAGAATGCGGCTATTAATAAAATAGCCAGATTACAAACAACACAAAAAAGCAGCTCGGGAAAAGGACAGAAGTCTAGTAAGCCACAAGGAGTGCCACTGCCCTTAGGAAAGACAGAGGAGAAACAACCAGTGCAACGTGCCAAACGAAACGGAGATTGAGACAGTAAGGCTAACAGTGCAGAGAATCAGCAGGGAGAATTCAGAGCTTGCTATCAGTGTATTATGGAACAGAGCCTCCAGCTACGTAAGGAGCGTGCTTAGTTCAAACAGGTTTACGTGAGAAATCTTTTATTATTTTCCTGGAAGTTTGAGATGGGAAAAAAAAAAAAAAAAGCAGAGACAGGGGTTTTAGCACAGCTTAGTTAAGACTTATTAGAAGCAGCCAGCAAGCGTCATCATACCTTGAATACAGTGTCACCATAAAAACAGCCAGAGAAAAATCAAATTCACTTGTCTGACATACATCAGCATTCTCTTCACATCCACAGTTGTTATTAGAGAACAATATTGCTACTGAGCTACCTTTTCAAAAAATGGGTTAAAATATTTCCTATGTTAAATACTATTATTCTTTATTGCAGTTGAACCTAGAGATCCCAACTTAGATCGGTCCAATTATGCAAGTGCTGTTAAGAAAGCAGATGGGACAGATTTACGATAGAAGAAAAGAAGTATGTGCGCTATTTCACATAGGCAGAGAAAAGGGACAAAAAGGCAGAACAACGTTGTAGATGTACTCACAGAGGCTGAATCCACAATTCAAAAACCGTTTAGCATCACTCCTATAATTAAATTTTACTCATGGACTTAAAACAAATAGCCTGCATTCTGGTCCAGTCTTTAACCAAAACATCCTACTTTTGCTATTGTCAGTCCATACGTCATGCACTTTCTTTCTTCAGGTTTTATGTCTAGTATTTTTATAGCTGAATGCCTCTGTCAGTCATTTATGTCCCATGGTCTCTTCTGACTACCTGCTATTCTTCTAGACTCCAAAAGCAACAATAAAAATTAAGTACATATATAAAGTCTCAAGGTATCATTTACACAGAACTGTTTCTCAAGAAACTTTTAATATATAAAAAAGAAAGCATAAAACTTACTTCGGTATTGATGGTAAAGCTCTTTCACCTTCTGTGTAAAGAGGAAGAAAACAGGATTACCATTTTATGAAAACTTGCAAATAGCCTCTTTCAATGTGCAATAGATACATGCATGAAATATTAATCACCACAGCCTCTCGGGCAAATTATGTTGATTCAAGACTAGTTCTAAACTAGTATTATCAGCAGCATATCAACACATCTTTTAATTAGTGATACAGAACTTCTGACAAAATCTTATCTGAGAAGAAAAACGTACACAAAATATAAACCTCCTTTTTCATTCGTAACAATTTAACTCTGACAGATCACCTGCACAAGGCATGACAGTATCTCATCTCTACTGATAAATGCTTCTTCTCCTTCATCTCCAAGATGTGCTAAGTACTAACATAAATAAAATTACCAAAGTCAACTTGAACTTCCAGACAAGACAACTGACATAAATCATTAACTCGCATAACCTGTTATACCAATTTCACATTTGGTTTATACTATAAAACAGAAATGCTCAGTAGCCAGAGATGGACTTAGCTTTTCATAAACTATTTGCAAATCCTCTGCCAGTGTAACTGTCTTTGATAATGATATTTGTGTAAGTGTTTGGATGCAAATAACCTAAGGGTTTTGTTTTTCCTGATAATTACACTCAGTATCAATGTGGGGGAGGATGATGGGGAATTACTAAGCCTTTACTAAAGGCACCAACAATTTATGGTAAATTGCAATATGCAGTGAAAGAGAGAGGAGATATGAAGAGACAGGAGACGAGAACAGATATGTATCTCTAAGTCACAGGGGCACTGGGGAAGCAACCTGAGAGCAAATGGAAGAGCCACGCGTTTAGAAAATTGTGCTATATACTGTTTTCACAAAATCTTGTAAATTCTAGGGTTTTCTTTCCTCCTACGTCTAAATTTCTGAAATTTCCAGACCTTATAAAAGAAACCTACAATCTCGTCTTTGTGAGCGCTGGGACAGAGTGGAGAAATGCCCACTGCTGACGTGACAGCGCTCTACGTGGCAAAACACAGCATTCTGTTACACTTACTTTGTTATCCAAAGTTTTAACGACATAGCTGGGCCCACCAACATAGGTCTCTTTTAGGTATATTTGGAGCAAAGTTTCAAAGAGAAAAGATGCTCACAGCACTGCCTATTCAGGTCATTAAGATCCATTTTCAGTTTCCTACAACACCGTGGTACTTTTACCAACCAGGTCAATAGTTTCCATATTGAATTTCTGCCTCGGGCTGGCTGGCTTATTTTCCGGGGACAGGTCAGACCTTTTCAGTGCTAAAGAAAACAAAAATCCTCCCTCTTTTTTTTCAGAAATTGCCTGGGCCTCTATGTTTTGGAGCAGGGATGCACTGAAATTTGATATGAGGTGGTGGTTGTGCCAGAATGTTTCCTTTCATCATCTCAGGGAAAGTTTGCCTAATTTTGGTCAAGGTATCAAGGGGGGTGGGGGTGGGGGGGCATTGCAACGCAGGCAGGCTCAGCAGAGCTCTAACACAGCCTTGCAACTATACCGAAAGCATTCCCTCTTCAGTGAGGATACTCAAGCCTTTAATAGCATATAATGTCGGCCAAGCTGCACCTACTGCTGTTCTCCATGAACCAGCATTTTCCAGCCCTTACCAGCTCCCAGGTGACAAACTGAACACGCATCGCATAGCTGAAGCGCATGCCCCTCAATCCCCTTGAAGCTTTCACATCCGAAAAAGTGCACACGCCCCATGTCCACAAGCTCTCCTCTGCCCCCCTCCTAGCACTGCCCAAAGCATACATGCAAGTAACTGAACGCGCTCCATCTCTTCAAACTCTCATGGGCTCCACAGGCTCCATCCCTATGGGGTAAACGCACGTGCCCCAGGGCTACAAAGGCAGATCTTTCCTAGTGCGTTTGGACACTGGAACCAAAAAAAAAAAAAAAAAAAAAGGAGAAAATGACAGAGAGAGAGAAAAATATAAAAAAAAAAAAAAAAAAAATTTTCTAGAAAATTCCTGAGGGAAAAAAAAAAAAAAAAAAAAAGATAGGCAACTCTACTTAAAAGTGTAGAGCAGCAGTCCAACTTAAGCGTAGAAAGGCTAAGAGAGGTGCACCTCAGGTAGCTGGGTAAAGTGACTAGAACAAGGACCTGAAACTGGGGGACAGATAAAGGGCAGCAAAAGATTACACAAGAAGCACAAGGAAGGAGAGAAAGGTATTGTAAGATACTGTGAAACGTGAGGCGGACCGAGATCTTCTGAGAAAGAAAACCAAAGGCAAAAATCCTGAAAGGTAGTACGCTGTGACAAGCACGGGATCAGAAGCCTGACGAAGCCTAGCACTAAAAAGATGAGGGGGAGGAACCCCGAAAAGAGAGACCAGAATGGGCAGTACAGGATTCAAGCCGGATGGATCTGAGCAAAAGGCACCAAGCTTGGAGAAAAAGGCCCAAAAGTCTTGCCCACTAGAGCGCGAGCCTCCCCAGGGTTGTGAGCAAGACTCAAGAACCTTAAGCCTCACCTGATCTCTATGTCAGCAATAACTATTTGTGAAAGTGTCCCGGGTGCTAGTCTACATCAAGTTGCGCTGCTACTGTTAGTTATTCCACTGTCTTTCCCAGATTTGGCAGTGGATTTAATGGTTCAGATGGTGCTGATGAATCTGTGTGTGTGTCACTGATAAAACATACTTGCAGACTGTTACTTTTAAAGGCTCAGGAAATAATACATACGTATGAACCTCTGGGTGAAAAGAATGTTCCTACACTGCAAAGTTAAATCTTAGCATTTCCACATTTCCAAATCCCCAATTAATAAGCAGCCCTTCCAGACAACTGTCCTTGCTCTTCACTGTGTAGCTCCATGACGTACTAAATACACACTATTTAAACTGTATTCTAAAGATGGAATTTCTAATTCTCCTCTGGAATTTTTGTATGGGCCACATCCGTATCGTATCTGAGGACTTCAGAAACATCAGTGAATTACTCCGCAGCACTGCAGACAGACAATATTTTAAATGTTCAAAGCATGGTTTCTGCTTGTTTCTGTTTCAGATCAGATTGTTCATCTCTCCTGCAAACGTAGACCTGGATGCCTTGAGAAAATGAGAAATAGCCTTAGGTGGCAACTGGCAGAGTAAGCCAAAGTCACTTGCTAAGTAACAAAAAGGATCTCTCTGAGAGATAAGGATAGGATCTAACCTTCCAGGGCGGTATTAAATTGCCCTAACCATGAGATCTCCCACGCTGTTCCTGCGAGTCCCTGCCTCATCTATTGAACAGCTTTCTATCGGTGCAAAGTGTAAACCAAGGATTTTGCCAAAACATCTCCCTCACTACAAAAATCCTGATTTTATCTTAAAGTAGACCCATTCTGTGCATTTTATGAGATAAGGAGAACGTGAATAAAGCAGTATTAAGTGGAGTAGTGGTATGCAGTTAATAACACACAGGGACACAAGGCGGAACCGAGATTAAATAAGCATTTCCTAAATTTCTAGTGTCTTGTGGTTTGGTTAACATTCTCTTAGTGTATTTATTTCTGTTTCATTACTGTTCAAATTTTGAAAAGTTGGTTTATTTTCAACCGCAGCCACATAAAGCAGGGATGGAAATAGAAGAACACGGCAGACAACAGGAAGAATCAGCAGTTGTGGGAATGGATAAGCAATAAATGATCATAGACTTAGGGCTCCACACGTGAACAAGTTTCTGCTAATCTTGGAACGAAGGACCATGGTGGAATCAGAAAAAGGCTGCACGCGTGAGGAGCAAAAAAAGATTTCTAGAGCGTGATCAAGGCGCAAGGATTTGAAGACGGCTGGAAAGTGGCGCAAGGAAATGATGGGTAGGGACAGAGAAAAGCAGAGTCTCTAGGCCAAGTTAAATGAAAGTTTAAGTTTCTAGATGGTTAAAAAAAATCAGGCTGGACTTAAGGTTCCAATATAACTAAAGTTCCATCATTCCCGATCATCTTCCTTTTTGCTGTCCCTTACCCTCCCCAGGGGGCATAACTGATTTTGTCCTCCCTTTTGTGATAAAAATTTATAGGAAAGGAGCCTGGCTTTGACAGGTCTAATAAGAGCTGGCAGAACCGGGCTCCTTTTCCTGACAACGTTCCCGTTTGCAAACCCTTAATAACAGTGATATCCAAGAGCGCTTTTGAACTCTCATTAGCAGCAGAGAGACGCACTCCCTTGCAGCGACCAGAACCGGCTGGGGTGGGAGAGCAGTGGAGAACGCATGCTCAGCCCTGGCGAAGGGCAGGAGCACCCTGCACCGCTCCTGAGCAACATCTGACTCCTGCAAGAATTAGCACTGACGAGCTGCAGCGACAACATCCACCTTACTGCTGTTAGAGATACGCCCCAGATACAGACAGGGGAAATGGGAATGGAAATAATGGAAATGGAAATACTGGGAATAAAGGAAATAAGCATATCTATCTATCTATCTATATCTATATCTATCTATCTATCTATCTATATGTAAACCCCAACGAAACAAAGAAATCCACAAAACCCAAACTAGAAACAAAGCCCGACTGTAAAGTAGTATCAGTGACACCTCCCTTTTTGCTCAAGAAAACTCAGCAGAGATGCATCTGCAAGCAACTCCTGCCGAAATGGCATACCAAAGCTGATTTTATAGACTCCTACATACTCTCCAGATATAAATCGATCACTGCAGGTAGTGTCTTCCAAGTTGGTACTCAGCCATTTAAAGCTCGTATACTAAGTAAAATCAGAAACATTCCTTAGTTCTTCTGTAGTTCTGAGGTTAAAATATATTACTAACAACACCCAAGTAAAAGCATATGTTGTTTTTCAAGAGCTGAAAATGGCTATGCATGAGCAAGGACACATGAAAAGAGCTTTCAAGTATTTTGATTTATCACAATGTAAACTGTGTCCTCATCGGACCAAAATAATTTTGAAAGCAAACACTACAAAAAGACGCCGGTCAAGGTGACAGTATCGTAAGAATTGCAATACATGCGGCCATTCTGATAAGATGCCAATCATTCAGTTTTCACATGAACAAACTGTGAACAAAGACTTTCCTGGATGACTTCACAGATTATTTAATTTCAACATGAAGCAATTCAGACTAGCTTTCATTTAGTGGTGATCCTCTTAGACTGAGTGGGAAACAATGTTGAAGTGTAAATGTTTAGCTCTGGCATAAAGAAATGACCATCAGCTATCTATTTGAGTTGCTTAAGTGGTTTTTTTTTTGAGTATTTTTAGTCTTTTAGAGGTCTGACAATTTTGCATTACTTAAGAAACTTGTTTTAACTGATAGACACAGAATTCAGCCAGTAGACTTCGATCACCGGAAACGACCTAGCGCAGTGTCCAACCAGTATACAGCCATTTAGTACCAGTTTAAGTTTTTATCAGTCACTTCATTTGTACTCTTCCTCTACTAGGGGAAGTAAGATAATGAAAATACAAATAATAAATTTAAAGTTTCTACACTGTTCTAAACTGACGTGTGCACTAAAGTAGTTAGGAAAAATAAAACAAACTGAATAAAAATACCCCAAATGCAGACCAGGTCTTACATATTACTAACCGCTCTCACCAAATGAAGAGAAACTGGATTACTAATGCATAGTGAGACTGAAAACACCCCCAAGACGCAGCTTCTCTTCGTAATCAAGAGAGATAACTTACATGGAGACTTAAAATAAACAAATTTACAACAAAGAGGGAAGGGGAAAGCTCAAAGAGGAAGAAAAAGATGCATCTCTTGGATCCAGAGCTGCTACAAGGATTTTTTTGTCGTATGCTGTATATAATCAGAGCTCACTGCGGGAGGGCTCTGGGCGTGCAGGTCACGGTGGGGAGAGCTCTCCTGCAGAATGTTTAATTAATGTATTCAGTATTGCTATGCAATAATAAAAAAAAACCCTCATACAAGAAAACACAACTTATTTTAAATGGATAACAAATGGTTTAGGTCAGCTTGTATGTAGGAAATCATACTTACAGAGAAACGAGAAAAAGACAGTTTATTTAAGGCATTCTCTTCCCGTCTGCATAAAGAACAGTCTCTCAAGTACAGTTCCCGAAGTGCTATATAACAAATGTTCCTTTAACTGAATCACTGCTCATTTGCTCCACTTTAAAATACACTGCGAATACCATACAAACACACACATGCCATCGCATGCATTGATTTATTTTGCGTTAGTGCCTACAGGCAAACCGCAGTGCAAGACATAGCTGCGTTCAGTCCTGTACAACATATAGAAAAATCAGAGATGTTGCCCTTGAAGAGCTCAGTGAAACAAAATTTAGAAACAACACGAAAATTTTAAAAGGGTGGGTCCATTTTTATCGCCACTTAGGGCAGCAAATCAGGACTCATTTGTCCTGCTAGTCTTAGACGGCAGATAACTGTACGCATCATGGAAGAGGCTGGAAATTAAGGAGGACATGGTAATTTTTGTTTAGATTTTGACCGAGAGTTGTTCCCTTGCTTGGGCAAGAAGAGCACAGAGGAAAGCAGAGCAGGGCTTGGCAGAGAAAAGGAAATACAGGTGCACAGTGGAGCACAGTGCAGCGCTGGAAGCTTGCAGATTAGGTGAACAGAGATAAGGCTTGATGATGAAGGTTTTAATAACCTGTGGTTGCTACCGTGAAAGGCAGAATTGCTGTCATCAGCCAGAGAGAAAACAGCAACGGCATTTTGGGTAGTTAAGAGCATCTACGTGGGAAGTGAGCCACTCTAGCAACCAAGCTGCCAGGAGCAACGCAAACTAAACAGACCCAACCTCTGAAGTATCACCCACAGAGAAGCGGCAGGAACGGGACAAAGCCCACCCGCGAGCCTCTGAAGAGAGGGCAGGCGATGACAGTGTCAGAGTGATGGCGCTATCCACTAACCTAGGATGAGCGAGAGGTGGCGAGAGGCAATGTGTTAGGACATAAGAAAGTTAAAAGCTCAACTTTGGCTACCTGAGTTCAGGTTGGCAAATCGCCAATTTGAATCTTTGGAAGAAAGTTTTAGGAGAGAGAAACGAAGGTGGCAACAAACCCAAGCCCATGATTTTTCATGAGAAATTGATGTTATTTTTCAAAACGAGGCAAACGGGTACAAAAGATAATCACGTGAAGGTACAGACTAGACTAGCGAAACAAACATTTTTGGTGCGTGGTGCCAATTTTATTTTTAAAAGAAGAGTAAGTAAGCTAGCATTATCACTGATGGTAGCTTATCCTTTTTTTGGTGTTGAATTTTTGTGCCAATGGTTCATGCTCACTGAGCCGCGCACCAGTTTGGCCAGCAGAGTGGAATTTGTGGAGCAGAGGAAAGATTTTCCGTTATATGGAGATAAGGTCGCATGACTAATGCAAATTCAAACAAAGCTGCTTACGGTGGAGCTAAAAGTTAGTTGTACGTGTTAGAGTCAGAAATAAGAAACAGAAACGTGCAGTCTTAAGAATAATTTAAACAATTCCTAAGTGCTATCAAAATGCCTAACACTCTAAAATCACATTTCTTCATCACTGAAAGACCAAGTATTGTTCCTTTTTTGATAACAGAAGGGTACAAGCAGATTTCAGAGCCATGCACAAGCAGGATGCTAATGATGGACCTGTGAAAGACCTGAACCATGTCAATAATATTACCCAATCGGAACAACAAATTGGAAAAAAGTGCCATAAAAGAGCAAAAAAAACACGGCTAAAGGGGACTTCAGACTGTAGAACTTCTGCTTCATAACAGCACTGATAAAATGCCCACTTTTGTATTTATTTTTAACGGAATTCTTTTGTTGAAATGAAAAGGGTAGCCACAACAGCTCAATTTCCATTACTGAACAAAGTGCTCAACTGAGTAACCCAACTCGTCAACGATGATATCAGCATTTCAGCATCTTTCTGGGATCCTGCATGTACTGTCTCTTGTATCACAACCACAGAAGAAGGAAATAGTTTATTCCTTGTTTTAGGACCCAAAAATGCTGGATCAACTTCCACAAGTAAAGATCAATACAGAAGGCAGACACTGCCAGTTTTAAGCAGCTCTGCTTCAGTATTTCTCAATAATTTAAGTCTTGCTGAAAGTTGAAAATATTCTAACAAAATCTAATTAAAATTGTCTCTTTAAAACTAACTGCACCCACACCCTAGTTTCACTGCTACTAACTTGTGATCCGCTACAAAAGCAGCTGATCAACACCACAAAATACTTGCTTTGCTTTAATTCTATTTCATGAGAAATGCTAATGAGCTACCTATCATGAGCTACCTGAGTTTATAAGATAAAAATGGAGATGTTTTGAGTATCTGGGAGAAAGGTGGAATTTTTCAAAAATTATCTACTGTCAGAAATCTTATCCAAATCCACTCGACTGATATCTGTGGGTTTCCAATCAGTTGTCAGGGAATCACGTTTCAAGATAACATTTCTTTGTTAGGCGTGTCTTTAATTACAGTTTGTTTACTTCTGCTGGTTAAGTTTAAAAATAGCGTAAAGTGTTGACCCCTGGAAGAAAGTCTGAACTATCAATCATAAATAATTTTCCGTGGAATAGCAATAGTCTTTACAAAAATACCTTTAGTTTCCTTTATTATCAGTCTTTACAAAAATACCTTTAGTTTCCTCCTAGAAAGACAGCAGTCTCCAAGTGAGGATTTTGCTTCTACCTTGCGTCTCCTATTCCAGTTTGAAATAATCAGCAGACAGCACCTAACAATCTATGGGTCTCCTCCAGAACGAAAGACGTCCTTACCTTTCTGTGGCCTGATAATAAAAGATTGCGTGGCTCCGTTCACCAGTCGGCAATATCCGTCTATCAGGTCAGCCATGTTCTCTGCAATGGTTAAGGACGGTGCTGTCACTGTCAGAGGCTAGAGAAGGAAGAAAACAAGGCACCAACAAAGAGGTATTATTGTGGCTGCAAACGCGGGGTAGAACAGCTGCGTCATTGCATCAGAACTTCATACACATTTGCAAACAGCGAACAGAAGAAGATGGGTTACCAAAGAACTATCAGATCATGAAACAACATCTGCATTTCGCTGGCCCCCCAGCATGCAAGGTACCATTCACATAAACAGAGATATCCTTAATATTTTGAAGGTGGTATATCAGTCCTCATCTGCCTTCTCTACTTTCTATTTAGCCAATTTAAGTAAGGCAGTCAGAAAGTATAGCTGACAAAACCTTCCACCTCAATGTAAGATTGATCTGGGCTCACCAAATGGTTTCCTAGTCAAACTTTTAGCCAAGAACTCTTTACTGCAATTTTTATGACTTTTATGGCCATAATCATGACAATTCTGTAGAAGCTGCCTATTCCCTAAAGCTCTTCAAGGTTGTCTTTCTTTCTATATTTTCTGCTCTTTTACAGCTAAAAAGCAACCTCCTCAACTGAAAAACAGATTAACATGAAAAAAAGATGGGAGACTAGAAAAGTGGGGAAGGGGAAGAGACACATACAGTCAAACTACCTTAACAGTATCAACACTCATCCTCCCTTGCACATATTTGCCACCTTGCCCTCGATCCTTGTCTGTCACAGAGACTATTTTCCAGCCTATACAACTAATTTCACTTCCAGCTCTGTCCCCATGTATTATGTCCTATTTCCTCTTTTCACAAAAGTGAAGCCGCTTAGCATCCACTTCAGTGGAAAGCATTATATGCATATACAGGCTATTACTAGAAAGTTGCACTTTCTAGTGCAACAATAATATTTCTAAATTCAACCTCTTTTACAAAGATTAGAGCATAAAAGAATCAAAATGAGCTGCAAATCTATTTCAGATACGAAAATATCTGACTAGCATAATGATTATGACTACTCACGATCACCTTTCCTCCCCCCTTAAATAACAAGAAAAATGGAATAACTACACAGAACGCCTGGAACGCGAAATATGCTTAAACATAATGCACTGGCTGTATTACAGAAGAAACGAGAGTTTAGCAATAGCAGTCTAGAGTCTTGAACCACGGCTCAGGACTACACACATAAAGTCAGGCAGTTCCACGCTCAGAGATGCTTATAACTGGATTAGGCAAGATGCTTGATAAAAAGGAAATGAGAGTAAAAGCTATTAGATGTTTCTGCCATACCATTCATTCTCTGTATGTCTTCAGGCTATCTCTGTGTACAAATAAATTCAGGTGTAGGTTAGCAGCGAGAAAAAAAAATGAGAAAAAAAAAGAAATCAAAGAATAATTTCCGGAGCCTTCAATCCCTGGTAAGGGTATGCATACTTATACAGCTGTTTGTTAAAAACAGTTATAAATATAGTTTTCTCGTACGTATAAATGGGAGATATACTTTTAGAATAATACATTTATCACAACTACACCAACAGTAGAAAAATCCAGAGTGAAGTTGCAGACAAAAACGTAAGCATAACATACAGAATATCTTCATTATCAGGATGCTAATTTCATTTTTTAGGAAAACCAAGGCAAATAAGTTTACTACAACTGTCAATACCGTACCTCAGGTGCACCTGCTATCTTGAGCTGCAACATCCCTTTTCTGTCCTTGTCTTCACTGTTTGAATACTGGATAGTCTGTACTTGATTAAAATCTGCCAGGTGAGTTGGCTGCAGAAAGGCAACGGAAAAAGCGGGGAAAATTCAAAATTACAGCAAAATACTTTGGCTTTACTCCTAAAGCTGCGAAAGCATATGCAGACTTTGATCTCCAAATCACACTGTAAAAAGCCTGTTCCTTTGTTTCCTTCTATAATTTCTTTGCGATTTGGGTAACAATATTTTCACGTATTTGCAGGATTTGCAAAATTAAACCAAGCACCAAGTTTGCCTACAGAGGTCACTGTTGAGTAACACTAGGCACACGCTAACTACGCAGTGGAAACGGCCTCTTGGATGTCAAGACAGAAAACTCAATAGGTCAACCACATGGTATCTGCACTCACAGCATACTTACGCACCTCCAGACCGCTTTAAAAAGCATGTTCTTAGCTGACTACAAATTCCCGATCTGCAAATCTCTTCCCCACCTCCAAGTTAGTTTCCACAGAAGTTGGAAATGACTGTAAACTTCCCCGATGTTTTGTTATTAGCAGAATTGGTCTGAACATGCTTCCTGAACACGTCCTTGGTGCAAGAAAATGCTGTTAACGCAGTCACCATCAGGAAGGTTGTTAGGAGAATAAAGTAAAGTAAAATATGATCCAGCAACGACTGCATGGCAAATGCTAAACACTAACCGATTAAACAAGTTCTTCATTTAAGCAGTCTTGCTCAGACAGGGGAGAATAATTTAGAGTAACCTGAATGTTTCGTTGTTAAAAACAGTCATCGCCGCTAATACTTCAGTTCCTTAACTGACTGCTTCACTGGGTACCAAAGCCAGCAAACTCAGTACCGAGGCTGACGCTGTCTCTCAACTTAACCCCGCTGTGTTTTCTCCCATCCCACACCGTGAGTTAATGCCTGAGTAACAGCTTTTTGCTCCGAATTTCCTGTTCCGAGTTTAACTCAAAGATTCAACTTTCTGTCCTCTTGGTTTAAAGTCCAATTCACAACAGGCCGTGCCCGACTCGACAGCTTGTTAAGGCACTAACTGAGAAAGGAAAACAGAAGTAGACCTACATTAGCGCCCTTGTCCGTAAGGTAACTGATTCCTTCTTCTGGGCCAATTGCCAGCTCCACGGAAATAATCCAGCTTGACTTCAGAAATGAAGGAGGAAGACGGAACAAAATTTCAATTGCAAGAGAAGAAAACGTTATGCAACGCTATCCTCCAATGTTATCATTACAGTCCTTAGTAATTAATCTCTAGAAGCTTCTAAACTCTTCAGGCATTTAAAAAATATATTAGGATCGAGTAATCTCCTCAGGAGCAAAACTACTGAGGCCTGGTTTCCTGGGGATCTGCGGTATTAGCGTGAGCTTCCAAGTTTCCATGTGTTTTATCTCAGGTCCACGTAAGAAACGAGTTCCTGTGCTTCGTCTTCTCTCCTCATGGACGTCCATGTTCACGTTCTAACTTTCACCTGAGTGTCTATTTTCATGAAGCTTGTAGATTTAAGGCCCTCTGTCAAATTTCTTTGAAATTGGTGGAGATTAAAAGGTATGAGAGGAGGATTTACAAGCAGATAGAAGTAGAGAAGTCTCATTTCCGCAGGAAACCAGGTTAAAAATAGCTTGACTTTCACAAACTAAGCACCAATACAAGCATTTACTTAAGTACAATCCCTACGCTACTAATGAATGATACTTATTCCGATGGTCATCTGAGAATGTTGTGAATAAAATCAATACGTATATTTTGTTGTTAATGAAATCCAAGGACTCTTCCTGAAATCCAAGTGTGAACTAGGCAGGCAGTTAACTGCAAGGCTAGGCAAAACCAATCCGACTCATAACTACAGCATGCGTGATGCTGTCCCATTCCGGTACTTACACCGAGAGCACACTTGAAGCACTCCTTGTCAAATCTGTACACTGGAGAGAGGATCTCAAAGAACTTCAAAATACTTTCTTCTCTATTGAGGTTGGCAAACTGTCGAAACGTTTGTTGGATTAGTTTTCGTAGTGTTTTGGCCTGTGTATTAAGAAGGTTGAAGATCAATTATTTTCATTCCAATCAGTGACGGGGTATATTAAAAGTATCAGTCCCTTGGTATCACAACAGTTTCTTTCTCAATGCAACACAGCACACAGTTCTCAAGGGAGAAAAAAAGGACCCTCACAACATAAACAACAGACTTCTGCCTTCCAGCTTCTGCTTGGGAACCAAATTATTTCTGCTGTACCTTAGAGCAGGAATACCTGGCAAGTAAAGTTTCAGTTAAATTACGGTGTAAGTCTACGTGCTAATTTTTGCAGGATCTGTTTTTTCCAAATCCCCCATTTCTTCCACTTTCTTGACTGATTACCAATACAAAAACAGTGCCACCAGCAAACTACCCCCTCATACCATGTCTTAGTTTTGTTCATGTCATCATAAGCTATTCTCTTATGTGTTAAGAATAACCCTCAGCTGCAACCATCCTCACCTCGTTGCAAGTATCTTAGACTATTCATAACATACTGGATTCTTAAAGTCTGAGAAGATGCAAAATAGTTGCCATGTAAATAAATAAAATTAGAATAGTAAATTAAAATTAATTAATTAAAACAAACATTTAAATTAAAAAATTGAATATTTTAACTATACTGCATATCATTTTATTGTCTGCAAGGCAGAAATAACTACATAAGAAGAGCAGCACAAATCATCCTACTAATAGCTACAACATCTGGCGCAGTGGGACAGAGACTGGGACCGGGGCAGACCCTGCTTATATATCCTGGAAGGTAACGTTTATAAAGGAAACAAGCAGACTTGGGAGCAACTGTCTCTTTTTTTACTGGACAAATGAACGAGAACTGAATGGATAACTTATTAAAAATGGAATATTTGGCTGCTTATAAACCATACGCCTGGAAAGGCGGCCACCTCTCACAATAAAAGCAGAATCTGTGAAATGACGTCTTCCACGTGCCCCACCAATCCCCTGACTGGTAAGTCTGGCTGGGCAAAACTGAACAAGGGATCAAGAATCTCTAATAAACGCCCTGTCCCTAGACACCAGAGTTCATATGGACACTACAGCAAAAGTGCAGTAGCTTCCCTCCTCTGTCCTTATCGAGAGCATATGTATGCTATGTGTAGCGCCAGCTGATTCGCTGTCTTTCAGCACTCTGTATATCATGTAATGCCAAAATGCCACAGCCACATACACAGCTATTCTTTCTTCCTTTGTCAAAGCTGGACTTGTATCTAAAAGTAGCTGGACGGGATGTAAAAAAAACAAAAAAACAAAAAAAAAAAACCCTACCTTTAGTACTGCCTATTTCTGATGCATCTTCCAACTAACAATGCGAGAAGGTACAATCAGATCGACTTTTGCAGTATGTCAAGGCTAAGACAGGAAAGATCATTGTTCCTCTGCAAAAACATGCCTCTCATCCCTATGGTAAGGGCCTTCAAACTCAAGTTGCCTTAGACAGCCCCAGGCATTACACAAACAAATACAAACTTCCTCTTTCCTCTTTAGTACTTACGCTCAGAGTATGCCTTCATTTTTAGCAACCCTTTAAAGTACATTAAGAACTCAAAATAGCCAGGAATTTCAGAAGAGGGTATGCAGAAAAGAGTGACAGATAGTGATCCGGTGACTGATCCAGTGGCACTGCATATTCACATACAAAATGATCGGTTTTGGAACGCTGATGCCCAGAGCAGATGGAAAGCAGACTGAAGAAAATCTCAGTTCAGCACACAAACTTGAAGTTTCTCACTGAACAAATACGCCATGTTGTTATAGTTTCAAATTACTGTATCACTTTGGCAGAAGTCTTTACCAACTATGAGGTGGATCACTGCTGCAACAGGCTGCGGATACCGGGTAGGATGAAGGAAGGGTCTGGCACTCAGGACACCTCCATACTGCGCCCAGAGCTGCCTCAGACTTTGTTAGGATAAGCAGAACTATTTGCAATATATATGAGATCTAGCACATTGTGCAACGACTTAAGTGTTTCCTCCTGGAAAAAAATCACGAGACACTTCGTAGGACTACGCTTGCTTTCTTTTACAACATTACGCTAACGTCTTAACTGTGATCAGCTAATATACCGATGTCTTTAAACTCATGACTTCAATGAGCTTCCCGAATAAAGCTGAAATTTCTGCTGTTAATACTCAAGTGTATCACCTCGTACTTTGCCCTGCTAAATATTTTGATCTGCATTATTCCGGCCTTCTAGTCTTCCTATACATAGGGTGATATCCTCTCTCTAGCTGACACCTCCGGGCTTTGTAACAGCAGCAAATCTCATTAGCACTGCACTGAACCCCAAGTTTTACCTCACTGATGGAGAAAAGCAATTATTTTTATACTTCATGGGCATCAGGAGTCTTCCTTTGCCCACCACTTCAACATTATCACCCTTCACAGAGTGAGGGAGTCAATTAATTACTTGAATCAATCCTGGATTATGTTTAATAGGTCCTCCATTTTCACTGAAAAGCAGCATCATTTTTCTTTCCCTTATTTTTCTTTTTATACATCTAACTTTTTTGTATTAGTATCTTTGAAAGGTTCAACTCGGCTTGACTTTTTGGTAATTTTTGCTATTTCTGCTATTTTGTTTCCTAGTTTCTAAAGAGCAGCCGTTTTTGTCGACCAGTTCTTTCTGGCTCTCCTAATATCAGTTTTTGAGACAGTTGCTTGTTCCTTTAGGTGAGGAGCCTTTCACTACAATTTGCATATTTAGCAGAGAATACAATCCTAGATAAGTCCTTAAATTAAAATGCATAGGAATTACCACATTCACTCAGCTTCATTAGATTGTTTTTTTTTCAAGCCTTCCGGAACAAAACCCCCTTCATGACAGACCTTTCCCGTTTACCCTTCCATTTCAATCATGAGTAAACTCTTTACATGTAAGTTAAATTCTCTAACTAAACCCTCTCTAAAACCGTCACTGCTTACCAAAATCAGTTCTAAAATACGAGTTTAGCATAGCTGACTTCCGTACAAACAGCAGAGATTTTTACCATGATTTTAATACCAAGACTGCTATAGATGTAAAACTACTTGGTGAGAGTTCTGGACTCCCTTTCACAACACGTTGAGAAAAATCTGCATTTTTTTTACTCAGGGAACAGACGGACTTCAATGGAAGTAAGATCTGACTAAAGCTGGTAGTCTAACTACGATGAACGTAAGCGGAAATTGCTGGAAAAAGCTTCCTCGAGTGAGAGCTGGATACAGTCGTGAGCAAGGAAAGCAGAATTTGGTTAATCAACTTGTCAGTAAAAATATGCTGTTTTCTTATGTGTCCCTTTCCCCTTTCTTCAAAAGTCTCATTTTTCTCTTGGAAGAAAAGAAAAATGAATTATTTCCTATCAGAGGAGCTGAGGGCTCCTCTCTGACTTCTGGCCACAAGATGCGAGTGGCAGAGGGGTACCTCCCTCCTATCAGCTCAGCGAGGCCATGTGAACCGTTCTCAGATTAGTTCTTCCCAGTTCACGTCCGTTGTTTAACTAGGGGACCTACAGCCTACCCATTTGTTAGACTGATCTGAATTTTTTTTCATGGAGACAGAACTTAATGACAACTCGCTTATGACTATACAGGGAAATCAAGCACACATTTTTCAGATTTCTGAAGCAAATTTTTTTTCGGCAGCATGCAACTAACTGAAACTATAATTACCTTCACTGAATCTAGTAAACTCTTCGGAAAAAATCGTCTTAAGCCAACATCCTTCCTGAAACAAGAACACACACATCATTAACGAAAAGCATGAGATAGGATATTGCTGATTAGCCTTTAGCTAATGCATGCAATATAATTACCATTTTCGTAGTAAGGTCCCTGACAAGCTCAGAGTACAAATACAGTACCGTTAAAACGCTGGCCTCAGCCAGTCCCCAGCAAACGTGCTACAGCAGTATCTTCTACTCTAAACTCAGAAGGATATTTATTGCCTTTACAGCGGGCATCTAGTGTGTAAAGTGTACAACTTTAAACGTTGGCTTGGGCACAGAGAACTTCTGAGAAGAAAACCTGTTAAGTCTAAATGTTTTATTAATTTAAAGAAAACTGAAAAAAAATGTTCTTACTGCGCGTAGTCAGCAGAGAAGGGAAGAATACAAAAACTGCAAATTACAATAAACACCTGCTATTAGAATTGATTACAGAACACAACATACAGGGCGATCTCTCATGGTATCACCTTAGTAGGAAGGCTGACAGCCTCTCCCCTACCGTTTTACCCTTTGCAGCACCAAAATTAACTTTATGAAACAATTTCCACCATCGGTTTTTCTCCTATTTACAATCTAGCGTTAGGAAAGCAGTCTCACTTCTTGCATCCATAAGGCCGGATCCTAATTCTGTCCGCAAGCTCCATTTCTGCAAGCGGAATTACACCACGCTCACAATTTCATGTTTTGAAATAGGGTTGGGAGCCCTAGTTTGAAAATCAAAGCCATGCAGGTTAAATATTTTCTTGGCTGAAATGTGCTGCAGCTAACTGATATCTGACGTGTATCTGTACCACTACAACCAACGGTAGCTTTGAGAAAGAAAGCAGACGGCAGAGAAGTTGCCAGAGGTGGTAGTGCAGGAGGAGATCGTTACACAGCCAGGTGTACCGAAAGTTGCATGAGCACAGTCTAGATGCAGAGACATCAGCATAAAATCTCTATGAGACAGAGGAAAAATTGTAAGAAAATTTTAAATGGGAAAAGGATTTTTGTTGTCTCCTTCTCAGTGGTGTTACCAACAACTTTATTTTTCAATTTAGTCAAGAGGTGACAACCTCTTTTAAACAAAGACCCTGCTCTATCTCCGAAACAGAAATAAAACTGGAATTCAAACACTCGATAAAGACAAGAAAGGTGTTAGCCAGTGAGAGAAACACGGTATCTATTCACTGCTACCCAACAGTGCAAGAGGAAAACCAACATTAAATTCAGTCTAAAAATAAGAAGAATAAAACATGGTCATTGTAAAGCTCTCTAAAGACAAGCAGTATGCAGTTTCACAAAACATACTAAAAACACCCTCAGCCACGAGAAGCAGAGTGTGTTCATGTACAGCACTGAACGCTGGCGTCTGTGCAACGGCAGTAAGCTGAACACGGTTATAAAACCTCCATAAACGTTAAGTCCTTTGAGGCGTTCCTTCTCAAGTGCAAATTATATGCCGTTTATCATCCCACGTAGTTAAATAAATCCAACACGCTATTACCATCTAAATAACATGCAAAGTCATTTTGACAAGGAACGTATTAGTTTAACACTATGCGCTGAGAAAGAAACGGTGCTTTCAAAAATTAGCACCCGGGATCACTCCAGTATTACTCATCTTCACCGTACTGCAGCACAGGGCTGCCACGTCCTGCTTCAACGGGTTCTTAAAGCGACTCGTGGAGCAGCTTTCGGTACAGACCCGTACGCAGCAAATCCAGAAGGAATCCTTAGGTAGAGCATAACGAATGACAGCTCTTAAGCAAATTTGTTAAGACGGCATTTCCTATTTTTAAATTAGGCTGTACGTTTATTTACTACAGGAGAACGTGCAACGCAGGTTTAAACACACAGTCCTGCAATCTCCTCCTCTTCCATCCTCAGCCGCATTGCATGGGCATAAAATGGCCAGCTCAGGAAAAAGACCAACTCAGCGCTCCAGATTAAGGACTCGGACACCCATCTGCTGACTGCCAGCAATTAGCAGCTAGATCCTGGTTCGCAAAGCTAAAAGCTTTACATTTAGCTCCATCTAGTCTACCCTATGCATGGATTTATATGACAAAATAAAATTTTACCTGTATAAACTTCAATAGGATTAATAAAATACCAACTACAGAGAGACGATAGAGCTTGTTATATAATGACTAAACAGCTTTTGGCAACGTTCACCTTTATTTCTACTTTTTATCTCAAAGCTATATCAGAAAAGTAGTATTAGGACAGCTTAATACATTTTATATGCTTTTTCAATGCTGTGGATGCAGCTGCTTCTTCATATAGCTCCCATTTTTGTACTTGTAATTATCCTTGTTCTACACTAAAAGGCTTCACACTTATCATGAAAAAAATTCTCCTTTCATTGTATGAAGACCCAACTATTAAAGGCTACTTAGCAGTTTGAGTCTATCCACCCTTTCCCATCCAGATTTGGTCTTATAAGAAATTCTGATCAAAGATGAATAAACATCAGACAGACAAAGACAGGCGAGAAGCAATCACAGCAAGCGCAAAAAAACGCTTTCCAAAATTGCCCTCAGCTGGTTAAGTGTCTCATGATGTAATAAAGCTACCGAAAAAAAAAAAAGAAACAAAAAGCCTCATTTGAAAAATGAATGTTACTTGTGTAAGAAAACCTCGGTAGACTATTAAGGTGGTAAGATCACATGAGTACAGTTTTGGGGATTACCGACACTTTCTGCAGGCTCTTACTAGCTTATAATTATCTACAGTCACTTTAAGGTGCTTTCATCCTTCACCCCTCCCAGCTGAATCCCACACAAAACATATTTTGCTTCTCAAAAAGCAAAAAACAAAACAAAAACCACCCCCCCTCCAAACCCGAACCCCCCCAAAAAACAAAACATCTTTGAAGCGCACAATTCTACTCGTCCAGTTCTGCACGGCACCAAGTTGCCGTGTTTTTGCACATTACCGTTTTGCTTCATTTCGTGCCCGTCTTCCACGATAGCAATTAATTTTATACCTACCAAAGCAGATGCTGCTTGGCGAACGTCTGCGTTGTTAACAAGTCATCGTTAAACTGGAAGCGACCCCTGTTCTGAGTCCTAAAGACCCTCTTGTCCATTATAATTCTTAATTGGTATTTCGTGTCATCTGTTATGAACCTTGCTTCCTTTACCCCACTTTTTGAAATTCTTAACCTAATTACCAATGTTTGTACTTTAAAGGTTGACCAATAACAGATTCAAAAATACCCTTCCAAAGTTCTTGATGAAATATATGTAAATTGTAACTATCGCCTTTTCTCACTGGCATTGTCTCATTTGTTTTAGCCTATCTTCTAAATCCAAGCTAAATCACCAACTCGAAGTCATTAAACTCACAAACTCTCTTTTTTTAAAGCAAAATTTCAGGTCACCCTACTTCCTTATCTATTTTATATTGCTTTTTACCCTTTTCTCTCCGTTCACTCTGTTCATCATTATTACTCCTTTCTCATTTAGTTATGTGTACTCTTAACCAGAATATATTTCTCCTGGTGGTTACTGATATAAAACCAGCTAAAGTCCTTCAAAAAAAACCCTAGTTTAAACAACAGAATCTCATAAATTCTGTGCAGCTACAGGAGCACTATATAAAATCCAAGTTGCTCTTCTAAGTTAACCGATTAGCTTTTGAAATAAACATTGCTTTCCATTTAAAAAGGTGCAAGAAAGTCGGGTTTCTAACCCTAAAAGTTGTCTCTTATCATGTTCAGTTTGGAATATCTACCACTAAAGACAAAAGATTTCCAGATTCCAACCACACACAAGTCCAGGCAAAATCAAGAGGCCAGTACGTGAGCTTAATCCTCCTCCAAAACATTCAGATAAAATGGACAAATTTGGTAGCATTCAAACTCAGAGGCTGCTTTTGAAAGTTTATGTCTAATCAATTTTGCCCAGAATAACCAAAAAGAGCCAATGTTAGAGCTAAGAAGGGCAGTCTACAATAAATTATATAGAGTAATGTCCTTTTAAAGGATGCATATGTAGCATATTGCATCCGTGGTGAAGAGTCTGAAGATATGGACCCTTTCTAGTGGAGCACTGGAGGGGTGCGAACTTTGTAGTCTTATAAATAGGTGATTGCCAAAATTTAACTTTACTCATTAAAATTATGTCGTTTTCCTCAAAAGTGCTTATAAATTTATTCACCCTTTACAATAACCTTGTACTGTACCTCCAAACGACTCCAATTTCGCACCTCTAAGTTAGTATAGTTTTATTTTACAAAAAAAAAGAAAAAAAACCAAGACTTTACTGCTATACCAACCTTTTATCCCAATTTTATGTTGCACTGTACAGCATATTTTCAGAAAGATAATCAGCAGTGAAGCACAGCTCACTGGGATGGGTGTAGACACGCTGTTCCACTAAATTACCACAAATAAAATCAATCTTCAAGCTACAAAACTTCTTAGGTACTTCAGACTGCCTGGATTGAAGCCATCTAACATACAACATGATTAAGTAGCCAGAATAGTTTTAGTATAAGGATGCTTCCCGGTCTTCTTAAAACTTGTGGCACACAGATACATAATAAACGTGTTAACTGCAAGATCACAATTCAGCAAAACCACATACTTAACGAATAAAGGAAAAATGATACCACAGACATTTCACGTTACTCAAACCTTACCACAGATTAGTCACAAGTGATGAATGCAATGATGCATAGGAAATCGTTTAGAAACAAAATCACCTTAGAACTAGACTTGATGATCCCATAAGCATTAGCAAAATTGAAAAAAATCACAGTAACAATCCTCATCAGTAACTTTAAACCACCTTATTTCCCTCGACCAGAGTTAAACAGGCTCTCTCCACTTCTATAGTTGGAAAGGTTCCGTTACCTTTTTCTTAATTAAAAGGCCTCAATAATCTGCAAGAAATATAAAATGCAACAGCAGCTTTCTTTTATTGAGACTAATTTAATATTCCTGATTAAGAAACAGTTGAAACCTCAAGCTAGAGCACAATACTTACTCTAACACTTCATAGTTGGACTTCTTTTCTAATGCATTGCCTCTCATCTCTCCGTAGGATCTCCTGAAGTCAGGAAAAATATTTGAAAGCAACAATTATTGGATGATCCGGCCTAAAACTATAGTATCAACATATTCAAGTCTTTCAGCGATTTACCATTAGAAACCATCTGCAGAACGAACTCCAATATATATTACAACATCATTATCCTACCCCAATAGACTAGATTTTTATTTCACAAAGTGATTTCATTTCTCCCAAAATAGCGGGAACAGCAACGGGTAACGTGTTGGCTCACAACATCATCTGGGTTATCGTATTCATTACACCTTTTTAAAAAAGGCGTCTGTAATTCTGTAAATGCGTAAGGAATCTGCAATTACACGGAGCAATTTTGTTTTCGCCAGGGCTACCAGTAAAGCTTACAGCCCGGGCATCAGGCTCGCCGACAAAACCCACGCAATCGCAGTTACCGCCGTTCTGCTGACAAACCCAAACTCCGTTTCATTTTAGAAAAAATGCAGTTTAAATTACATTTTTCTTCTTTATGTTTGCCATTTACTTCTTACAAATTTTACTGCTTTCCTAATCTTTCTGTGCAAGGCAACAGAATAGCTAAATCAAATGATTCAGGCTGGGAATTCTCCATAAATTAGCAAAAACAAAACGTGCACTTTAGAAGCTGTGAGGAAAGCTCTCTCAAGGAGCTCTTAATCTGATCCAACTTATCTTTACTTTCCAGCTGTCTATATAGTTGACAAGAATGTCAAAACAGTTAAAAAGAAAAAAAAAAAAAGATTCTTTACCTTTCCTGAAAGATTTGTTCATTTACCTATTTACAAAAAAGTAGTTTTTAAAATAGCACATGAAAAATTGAGTAAACGTAGAGAGAAGAGGTAGTAGCATTTATCTTTAATTACGTTCCTCAGCCGTAGTACTGAGATGCACATCGACGAGATTATTTGCTCACACCTCGGATTTATTCGCCTTTTACTACACTTCACTGTACCCTACAGGCCTTTGAATTATTCAAATGAAAAATTCACCAAAAACGGCAATATCAAGAAGCAGTTAATTATAATTTTAATATTAATTTTAATTCAAAAATCACTAGAAATTAGTTACAAGATAATCTAATGAGTTTTTTTCTTCAAGCTACTTTATAGCAAAAAGGTTTTATAGTGTTTTATTCAGCTAGCTATGTTGGTCCCAAATCTGTAAGCTAAAAACAGTTTGAAAATTAATACATATATGCAGTCAGAAACATGTTGAATAATAAACGAAATGATCAGCTTACCGGATTTCAAGGCAACCTAGTTTCAAAGCAATTTCCTGGTCCACTTGATCTGCTATTTCTAACATATAGTCATTTTTCACCTATAGCAAAAGAAGTAGGATTGCATCACAGAAAGATCAGTGCAGTGTTGTTAAAGACTGAAACGCTGTCCAAACAACTTGGGAATAAATATGTCTTTCCTTGGGTTTAATTTTTGCAGGGGGTAACTAGCCACGGTGCAGGAAGAGAAAAAAGTAGTTATGTACATATTCTCCCTAAGCGAGCTGCGGTTTTGCGAGAAACCCACTTGGACCGCAGTGAACTCGGTTCAATCCTCCTCACGTACATCAGTTTAGTTATGTTTTATTAAATACAATCAAAATCTTCACGGGAAGCTGGAGCACACGGTTGCATCTGCACTCAAGATATGCGAACGTAGGGTCTACTCTTGAACCACTGTGCCTAAGCTGCTTTTAACTTTGTCGGTGCGGCTGATCACGCGTAGAAAACAGACACGCGTCCACTCGTTCTTGTGAAAGTAAAAATGGTCGTATGCGAAACTCGTGCTACGTACTGACTTAAAACGACATTTTACATGGCAAGAAATAAAACCCAAGAGCGTAAAAACTTACATCCTAGGTGCTTTTCACTGGCTACCATCTAAAGCAGAAAATACAACAGGCCAAGAAGTGTCCTCTGACCTTGAGGCCAAACGCCAGGCACGTGCTTGGGCCCAGTCTGGAAGAGCGGCAGGCACAGAAACTGGGCCAGACAGCAGGCTAAGTACTAAACTATACGGACTGGGGGGGGAAAAAAGGTGGGGGGGGGAGGTCGTCAAGTCCCTATCACACATCCTGGACTTGTTTTACATACACTAAGACGGATGTAAGCCAGTAAGGCTCATTTTCAGATAGTACTTTCACAACCGGAAAAAGTCATTTATACAGTTATTAACAAAAAGAATAAGAGAACGCAGAATTACTGCTGAAAACCTGATTTTTGCAAATTGTCTTGAGTTCAG